TCTCATGGGAGAGAAAAGCATGGTGTGGTGCACATCTCATAGGGGAGAAAAGCACAATTAGCATGGAAGTTTCCAAATGGGGAACGTGATTGTTGAACCAGAAGAACGTTGTGCTTGATGCGCACACAAAGCTAAAAGGGGGAGATGTCCGCCCTGAAGTAGTCGCTGACGTAGTTGCTGAAGCAGACGTCGTGTTGAGTGGTGAAAACCATGTGGAGTCAAGATGCTGAGCTGGAGTCGTGCAGACTTGGAGAGCAAGGGTGTATCTTGGAGAAAAGGCAACATGAATAAACTTGAGGAACAAGTTTATGACTTAAAGAAAGAGGAATAAGTGTATTTCAAGAAAAGGAAAGTTGCGCTTAATGTTATGGAAGATGTCCATATTGTGTTCCTTGGAGACTAGGGTTTCGGAAACGTGGAGAATAAGTATAAGATAGCAAGGGGGTCGTCTGCAGAGAGACAGAAACACAGAGGTTGATCTTATAGAGAGAGAGAAGCTCTTAAGGTGTTCTTGGGTCGTACTGAAGCAGAGGCTGAAGTACTTGACGGCAGAGAGACATAAGTGAATAACTTAAGAATCTTTCAGTGACGTGTGTTAGGGTGTTAACACTAAATGTGTAAAGCTGATTAAACAGATCTTGTAATAGAGTGTACAAGGCGATTTCTAATAAAACTATTGATGTTTTTGTCTCTTGATTTATCTTCTGCATTACCTTATGTGGTGTCATCTTTGCACTTACATTCGGGAGCTGTTGTCTCTCGCCTCCGTCGAAGCCATTAGGAGCCACTTTCGGGTGAGGGTTTGAGCAACTTGTATGAGCTATTCTCTTAATGTTCTAGCTACTATAGGAGAGATATCGAGAAGCGTTTAGTGTGGAAATAATGTAGTCGATTGATCTTGTTATCTATTAGCTCCAAGTTCATCTTTGTCTTGGACTAATTTCCTTGTTTTCTAGGGACTTCTATAAACTTTTTTGCAGTAACTAGAAACAGAATGGCTGCATAGCATATTCTGGTTTCAATTCCTTTGTAACCAAACCTTCATTTCATGAATGATATTTACAATTTAGCAAAAAATAAAAATAAAAAAATTCTCTAATGTGTATGTTCTATTCTTCGAACAGATCATATAGACTTATCTAATAAGGCTGAGCTATTCGTATTATTCTTTTCTTCACTTCTTCTCTTTGCTATTTACACAAAATGTCTTTTATTTTCTTTTGGGAACATATATGTCTTTTATTCAAACCATTCATGTCAGAGCTGTGCAGAGATAATGGGGCTGTCTAGGACCGGACAAGAATTTCTTGTAATTAGGTAACGCTACATATTCTTAAGAACGTGAGAGGAAACCTATAAACATGTAGAAGTCTTCACTGGTGAGTTTTATTCAAACAACATCCTCAAAACCAAGTCGAGCACTGTCGGAAACAGCCTCCTTCTCTTCATTCTTCTGTTCAACATCAAGCGCAAGCAACACTTGTCTCTGTTCCACAATAATTCTATCGAGTTCTCTCATGCGAGCACCACGTGTTTCCATTTTCTTCTTCTTTACGCGAAGCTCTTCCAGCTTCTCCTTCAACCAATCCAACTCGAAACCTACCCCTACCAGATCCAAAAGCGTGTTCTCAGCATCTACCAGCTCCTCCTCTGTTAGCTCCTGAGGAGCTAAACAAGTAATGTCGATGAGATAGAGAAGGGTGTTCATGTTCGCATTCTTCACCAACTGGTTCTTTGGACGAAGATTTAAAGCGGTTTCTGGGTGTCTTTCAAATATTCTCCTTACACATTCCACCTGAGAACAAGTTCGATGTGAAAAACAAACCAACTAAAGCCATTGTTGTTGGTTGTTCTTACCTCTGTGTAGTAAACTCGAAAGCCATTGATCTCAACTGTTCCATCACCGTTCCACATTGGTACCAGTTGAGTTTCTTGTGATACAGAGAAGAAGCTTTACTTGCAGATTAGGCAAATGGAGTTTTTGTGTTTTGAGGATTGTCTTATTGTAACTAAAATATATATTTAAGAAGATGCATGCATCATAAATTAACTTGAGCTAACTGTAACTTAATATTGTCTTGACATAATTAAATATCATATGAATATTTATTGCGTCAAACGTCAAGGTACTTATTTGAAAAAGTGACACTATACTCTGTTCCCATGTTAAAAATATCGGTACTCAGTACATAGGTGGACGTCTAAGCACCGCCTAGACCAATTTTGGAAAAATATTTTTTTAAAAATGTTTTGACTATAACTGATTTTTAGAAAACTGCTCTATTCAGACGGGAAAAGGGCCTATTCTTATCCAAACAATTTTAATAGTGCCAAATACAATCCGAACAAACATTCAGTGCCAAATACAACCTGAACTATATTATAATTCACAAATACTACCTAAACTTTTTAAAACGTGCCTAAACCTACATTGACCGTAACAGAAGTTAGTCAACCGTTAAAATGATAAAACGACGTCGGGTCTATTCCTACCCAAACAAATTCAATCGTGCCAAATACAACCCGAACAAACATCCAGTGCCAAATACGACCTGAACTACGTTATAATTCAAAAATACTACCTGAACTTTTTAAAACGTGCCTAAACGTACATTGATCGTAACAGAAGTTAAGTCAACCGTTAAAATTGATAAAACAATGTCGTTTCGATTTCATTATTTTTTAAAAAATATGAAGATTCCGGGATTCGAACTCGGGCCTTGTCACTATTTAAAACAGACATATCAACCACTAGACTAAAGCAATTTTTTTAAATAGTACTACAAATTTGCAATTATATATGCTTTTATACTTTTTCATCTTCTCTAATTAAAACTTTACTTATTATTATTTTTGACTCTTATTAGTATATTAACATATTTAATAAACTTATAAATACAAATTTCTTTTGTTTCTTAAAATTAATAATATAAGCTGAATATACTTTACCAAAATAAAATAAATTACCATTAAGTTTTATTTTTAAAATAATTTATATATGGACATTTTGTAAATAGTTGAAATAATTTATATATGGACATTTTTTAAAAACTGCTTTAGTCTAGTGGTTGATGTGTATGTTTTAAATAGTGACAAAACCCGGGTTCGAGTCCCGGAATGTTCATTTTTAATAATAGAATCAAAACGACGTCGTTTTATCATTTTAACGGTTCACTAACTTCTATTACGATCAATGTAGGTTTATGCACATTTCAAAAAGTTCAGGTAGTATTTTTGCATTATAACGTAGTTCAGGTCATATTTGGCACTGGATGTTTGTTCGGGTTGTATTTGGCACGATTGAAATTGTTTGGGTAGGAATAGGCCCTTTTCCCGACGTCGATTTATCATTTTAACGTTTGACTAACTTCTATTACGGTCAATGTAGGCTTAGGCACGTTTTAAAAATTTCAGGTAGTATTTTTGGAGTATAACGTAGTTCAGGTCGTATTTGGCACTGAAAATTTGTTCAGGTTGTATTTGGCACGATTGAAATTGTTCGGGTAGAAATAGGCCTTTTTCCCCTATTCAGACAGCTAGGGATATTACTTTTCCACCAAGAAACTCGTTACTCTTTAGAAAGGTTTCAAACTACAAACCACTTAGTTACCAAAACACCCTGTCACTAGCAAATCCCTTAATTCAGATACCTAAGAATATAATTCATCAGAAAATATCATCATCAGACAAAAAGAGAGGAGCACTGGCAGCCAAAACCTCTGCCTTCTCAGTCTCTAGCTGAGCTTCAAGGTCTGAGCACTTATGCTTCAAATCCTTCAACTTTTCCTCAGTTTTTCGTATCTTAATCTTGCCAGCTTTCTCTTTAGCCTTCTTTTCTTTTATTTCGCCAAGTTTTTCCTCCAAGCAATCCAACTTAAACCCTATAATTTTCATGTGTGCAAGAGTAGTTTCTGTATCAGACAGATCACTATCAGATATTTTCTGAGGCGGCAGGCGCAAAGTCTCAGCTAAACTGAGTAGGACATTCATATATGCTGTCTTCAGAAGTGGGTTATTTATACGGAACTTTGATGCAATGTATGGCTGTCTTCTAAACAAATGGTTGACAGATTTGACCTAGTAGAGAGCAAAAAAAATTTTTATAAAGTAAAATCATATAAATAGCAGTGTTCCATAAGTTTACAAACCGTATCTGTATGCGTACCTGTGATGGAAGAACTTGGAATCCATTGATAACTTGGAGAACATCTATCTCCGCAACAATTTTGACTTCTTCATCCAGCAGAAACCCAAGGGTGTTTTGCATGAGCGGAAAACCACAACGGGGAGTCTTGTGATCAAATCACTGTTGTGTTACTATAAAACCACAAAACAAAAACCCATCTCAGAAGTGTTACATGGTTGATATAAACCAGTTCTTGAATATCAATTGTTCCCATAACTTCATATATCGGGAAGCACCACACTTGTTCGGGTCACAACCGGACGAAACATTCCTTTGACCCTAAATTTTATTGAGCCATTATACATCGGTTGCGATGACCCCAAGTTATCAAATTTTTATTATGATTACGTAAAAACGTTTATACCTTTTTTTTTTGGTCAAAAACGTCCTAGATTTTAGAGGGCTGGAAGCCAAAAAAATGTGGCCACATAAAGAGAAGAAAATATGTACCAAGACCTTAAATATCCCTTTATTATTAAAACAGAAGCATTTTTAAAGAGTAACCTTTGTTTAGTAAAATATTCACAACTTTGCCATTATTGATGAGGTGTCATTACCACATGTCTCCTCAGAATCCTTTTTTTAATAGACCAACATTTACTAGAAGAATTACATAATATGCCATTAGTGATTATATAATGTAGGACTACAAATATATTAAAACACACATCATACATAGTTTTTAAAAGAGTGCCATGTATTCATATACGCACTATACATTTTGCATGCATGTAACCTTATTTGTTTTAACCATTGAAACACCTGCAGAACAATAGGAAAACGAACATTGCCGAGTAAGAAAACCATATATGTAACTCATCTCTGCTTTCTATTTTCATTCACATTCTTAGAAAGAAGATCCAATGTTTAAATGTCCAAGATTTAACTAAAAAGGATGAGTACTATTCCATTGTTTAAACTGGAAACAAACGAACCATAAGCATAAATGTTCCTTCTAAATATGTTTGATGATATTTTTTTTAATAATATGTTGTATATATTTTGCGTATAGGGTAATTCGTTGTCCTTTACTCAGTCTGGATTAGTTCAATCAATCGTACTCTATGGATTCAAGACCATAGATGTTAAGAGGAAGATGAAGACAGTCTTTAAATATTTAATTAGCGTCTATTTTTAACTAAGACATATTACAAAAGAATCTATATATGGAAGCAATTTATTGGTCTAACTATCGTATATGGAAGCAATTTTTTGGTCTAACTATCTATCGAGGAATTGATTCTCTCAATAGTTAGTGTGATGTATATTCAAAAATATCTATCAAATATGGAAGATTTTTAAATAATTAAATTTGTATGCACGTTTAATTGAAACTTGACTTATTTTTAAATTCATATTTGGTAACCTCTTCCTGTGTGCATGAAGCAAAAAGTTTAATGTTCTACTGTTGCCAAACTTTTAGGCTTAATCGTTGGAACTTAATATTCTCCTCATATCTTACATTCACTACCTAAATCTTATTATTAATTATAGATTAGAATGCCTATTAAGTCTAAGGCTTCAAACGACCACTATTTAAACAAATCTTGCAAGGTTTATGTTTCATATACTCTCAACACACAATAAAGCGTTTAGCAAATACACTACTTCATCATGGAAGGTCTCAACTGACGCTAATGTTGTGCTGTGTGTTGAATTGCTGGCGTATTGAATGGGGTTCAGGGATGTTACGAATGAAAGTTTGTAAACTGTGTTTGTTTATATATTCATAATCATTGTAGTATATATATATATATATATATAATACATATGTAGATAGCTTGAAGCATGTTACTACTGTTGATGGGTTCTCATACATTTTATTCGAACCAGAAAATTCTATTAATACAAGCATTAAAATCCAAATAATATCATCAAAATTTTTAATATATACTAACTTCAATGTTTCTTTCTTTTCTTTTATGATAATAGATGACCGTATAAATAAAAATTATATTTTTAGAATTTCAGTAACCGCGTAGTGAAAACAAAGAAGAAGGGTTCAAGTATTGTTTCAGTACGTTATTCTTATCCATTATGTTGATTTTTTTTGTAAAAAGTTTCTGGTTTTATGTCTTAATATATTAATGTGACAACATACTTTATCGAAAAAGTGTGCTTTCAGAGTCATTTTGTTTGTAAGACTAACTAAATGTACTATGTTAGAGTAAGATTTCATAAAAATAGTAAGTAAATATGACACTAACCTTCAGTCGGTAGCCATACATGCCCTCATAATGATATCATCTGGTTAATTTTTCCTATACCTTCACTAAACAACAGATATCAAAGTAAAGAATAGCAAATTTGAATACTTCTCTACTTCGAAAAATGGTAATATAAGTTTTCTTTCAGCCGAATCGGATATAAAATTTTTTACCTTCAATGTTCTTATATATTTTGAGAAGCTTTTATTTTTGAGATACGAACAAGATTTGGTTAGCTTTCTACTGCTTCGTTTCAACTTTCAACGAACATAGGAAACGTTTTCTGCACACTTGGATTGTAAGTCACTCCTCTCCTTACATGGAATACGATGAATTTAAATATTAACTGGTAAACAATTGATAAGAAAGAGAACACACGACTGAACCAAGCATTAACATCTGAATAATTTTTTGAAAAGGATTATAAAGAGATCTCGATCGATGGACCAGTTGCTAGAGAAATCAGCCGAGTTCCTATTTCCTTTGTCTTCGAGGAGGACATTTTTTGGAGAATTCCTAATCAAACTACACGAGAAGCATTGATATATCGAAGAAAGGGTATAGAATAAAGTATTTGGAGAATTTTATATCATCGATTGGTTGACGCAAAATAATCAATTTTGGGTGTTCTGAAAATTAACCCCCTTAACTGCAATTGTCAAAATGTCTGACGAGTAACATTTCTCATCTCTCCAACAAATGATTTTCAGACCATTGGATGCTATCATTACTATGGATATGTCATAGTAAAGGTCC